CAACCCCTCTCGACCTTATATCCAATTTCGAAAAGCAGACTCACACCGTACAGAACTGGGATCATTATGCGGTTGATCATTTTGGGTCTTTTCTTCCATTACCGAGTAACAAATCTCGTTGACAGTGCTTTTGGTCTGTGGCTCACTTCAGTCATATGCGAAACCTGGTTTGCCTTTTCCTGTGTGTTGGATCAGTTCCCTAAATGGTATCCTGTTAACAGGGATTCATACATTGACAGACCGTCCGCAAGGTGCCCGTGACATCGAAGGAAATGAACTTCCTAGACTGGTTTATGTCTCTAGAGAGAAGCAACCCGAATACTAACACCACAAAAAAGCTGGTGCTGAAAATGCTTTGGTAGGTAACTGGTAAAAGAAAACCAGCTTCATAAGGACAGTTTAAATATCTTCTTCCAACTAACATTGAAATGGTTTCTTACAGGTTAGGGTGTCTGCAGTTCTAACAAATGCTCCATTCATCCTCAATCTTGATTGTGACCACTATGTTAACAATAGCAAAGTAGTCAGTGTGCTTCTTGATGGACCCTCAAGTTGGACAAGATGTTTGCTATGTACAGTTTCCTCAGATTTGATGGCATAGATAGGAGTGATCGATATGCCAATCGCAACACGGTCTTCTTTGATGTAAGATTCAAGCTAAATCGATTTTCTTCTTGATTTAAGTCCTTGTTTCGACAGTTTTATGTTGCGATTACATTATTACATAAACATGATCTTGAGTATTGAAAATTGTTCCAAATTTCAACTTCAGGTTAACATGAAAGGTCTAGATGGAATCCAAGGGCCAGTTTATGTAGGAACAGGTTGTGTTTTCAATAGGCAAGCACTTTTATTGATATGAACCGCCTTTAATGCCCAGCTTGTCCAAGTCCTCTTCCTCATCATGCTCATGGTGTGGCTGCTGCTCGTGTTGCTGCCCGGCCAAAAAGGCTCCTAAAGATCCATCAGAGCTATATCGAGATGCAAAATGAGAATAACTTGATGCTGCCATCTTCAACCTTAAGGAGATTGAAAGTAAGTCAAAACAATTTAGGCAAATTAAGTTAGACCGATTCTTTGTGAAGCACTTAAACTAATGACATATATTTGCTCTTGTTTCTGCAGTATATGATGATTATGAAAGAGCTTTGGGAAAACTTTTGGCTTATATTCTGTCTTTATTGAATCTACACTAATGGAGAATGGAGGAGTGGCTGAATCTGCCAACCCTTCCACTCTAATTAAAGAAGCAATTCATGTTATCAGCTGTGGCTATGAGGAGAAGACTGAATGAGGCAAAGAGGTTGGAATCTCAATTCTTGTTTATCATCTGAGATTGAAAATGCTGCCAACACTCTCGATTTCTTGCACGTCTAACTTGTACAATCCAAACCTGTTTCATCCTTGTATTGACAAATTTAAGACTTGCTATTTTTGTGGTCAGATCGAATGGATATATGGTTCGGTTACTGAGGATATCTTAACTGGTTTCAAAATGCACTGCCGAGGATGGAGATCAATTTACTGCATGCCCTTGAGGCCTGCATTCAAAGGATCTGCACCCCATCAATGTCTGATCGGTTGCACCAAGTTCTTCGATGGGCTCTTGGATCTGTGGAAATTTTCCTTAGCAGGCATTGCCCCCTATGGTATGGCTTTGGAGGCGGTCAACTGAAATGGCTTCAAAGACTGGCTTATATTAACACTATTGTTTATCCATTTACATCTTTCCCTCTCGTTGCTTACTGTTCATTGCCAGCAATCTGTCTTCTCACTAAAAAATTTATAATACCTACGGTAATTATCTTGTTCATTAACTATATGTGTTTTTTAACTTGATGCTGGTAATTCTAGTATCCCAAGCTTACATTGCATCACATTGATGATCACTACCTCTCAAACCTGGCAAGCATTCTGTTTCTCGGCCTTTCCCTTTCCATTAACGTGATTCGTGACTGCCGTGCTGGAGCTCTGATGGATCGGTGTGAGCATCGAGGACTTGTGGCGTAACGAGCAGTTATGGTTCATCGGAGGCGTTTCAGCTCATCTGTTCGCCGTCTTCCAAGGATTTCTTAAGATGCTGGCGGGGATTGACACCAATTTCACCGTCATAGCCAAAGCAGCTGAAGAAGCAGAGTTAGGAGAGCTGTACATTGTGAAATGGACAACACTTCTCACCGTCAACATGGTTGGCGTGGTTGCTGGATTCTCCGATGCTCTCAACAAAGGGTATGACGCTTGGGGTCCACTTTGGCAAAGTGTTTTTCTCCTTCTCGATTATCCTCCATCTCTATCCTTTCCTCAAAGGTCTCATGGGTCACCGGAACAGAACCCCAACCATCGTTTGTTCTATGGTCAGTGTTGTTGGCCTCTGTCTTCTCTCTTGTCTGGGTCCGAACCAACTCCTTCGTGAATACCGTCGACACCAAAACCTTAGCTCAGAACTGCATTTCCATTGATTGCTGAGTTATAAAGATGGGAATTATTTGAAGGCCCCTCGTAGAAACAAAATGGATGAACGTTGGTGACCTTGATTCGTTGAACCATCACAATCTCATGACTTAGTATTCAATTTCATATTGCTTTCATGGCCTTGGAAAATGCGACTGTTAGCTGACACGTCTCTGTTTTTTCAATCTAAAAAGAGTTTGAACACGTGTAGGATTAGCCCCTCTTCCTAACTAAATATAGTTATGTGTGGAAAAATTACTCCATGTTACAAGCATTTTATATCATATCTATTCTGATTTCAATCAATAGAAATTACCTTTTTTTTTTTCATATTTCTCGATCTAATACTCTTTGCAATGCACCTTAAGTTACGTATTAAAAGGCGCGGTCCATGCACCTAATATGTAAATATTTTTTATTAGGGTGATTTTATGTAAAAAGTCAATTTTTTAATTTATTTTGTGTGTGAAAAAAAAATTATATATTAAAATCTTTAAATATTTTGTTTCAAATGATTTTATAACTCGACAAATTTTGATTTTTGCATGAAATTACACAATACATATAATCTAGTATAGAAAAACTTTAAGGGTAAGTAATTTAAAATATGAATAATTTTATAAAAAGTTTTATAACTAGTATTTCTTTTACAAAATAATGATGATGATGATAAGAAATATTTTATAATTTAAAAAATTATAGATTTTATATATTTTTGAAAAAATATTGACTTTTAAAATTAATTGTTTAAAATTATTAAAATAAACTTTTAATTATAATAGAGGGATCAAATGAATTATTATTCATTAATTATTATTTTTTAACAACAGTTAATAATGTTTATTCATTTTTAATAAAATTAGAATTGTGGGATCAAATAAACTTTTAATTAAAACTGCGAGATCAAATAAACTTTTAATTACAATTGTGGGATCAAATGAATTATTATTCATTTATTATTAAAAATAAATAAATATTATTAACTGTTGTTAAAAACAATAAATAATGAATAATAATTCATTTGATCCTGTAATTGTAATTAAAAGGTTATTTTAATATTTTTTTATATTTTCAAAAAATTAATTTTAAAAGTAAATAAAATTTTCAAAAATATATGAAATTTATTACTTTTTAAATTATAAAATATTTATTATTATCATCATCATAATTTTATAAAAGAAATGCTAGTTATAAAACTTTTATAAAATTATTTATATTTTAAATTACTTACCCTCAAGTAGATATGCACAAAGTCGGATAAAAATCGATTTGGATCGGATAAAAATTGATCCGGTTTTTTCACCTAGTCAAAAAATCGGATTTTAAAAAACCGGTTCAGATCTTAACCGGTTTGGAGGGTCAAATGGTGTAACCGGTTTTGATTTGAAAAAAACAGATTTTTAAAAAAAACCTGTTTAGGTGTTGTGTAATAAGATTTGAGAAAGTTGTAATAAACCAAATACATTACCAACCTATTTATACATGTTTAGGGTGGTAAAAAGTGATTTTTTTAGGAAAAAAAGTCAAAAAAAACCCCAACGACTATATTAACGGCTAGTTTTTAAAACTCCAGACCGGATTTTTTTCCAGATAAAAACCTATTTTTTTATCTAGTTTTTTCAAATCGGATTTTAATCTGGTAAAAAAACCGATAGTCCAATTTTTTTTCCAAACCGATTATACTATCTGATTTTTAAATATCCGATCCGGTTTAAAAAAAACATGTTTTTCCCAAATCCAGTTTCGGATTTTTTTACGCAAAATCGGATATTTGGATTTTTTGTGCACCTCTACCCTCAAGTTTTCCTATACTAAATTATACGTATTGTGTAATTTATGCAAAAATCAAAATTTGTCGAGTTATAAAATAATTTGCGTTTTATAGATTTTAATTTAGAATTTTTTTGCATAAATAAAAAATAAAAACATTAACGTTTTTACACAAAAATACCCTAACAAAAAATATTTACATATTAGGCACCATTTAAAAATATTTATAAAACTAACACTAAATTTTAACAAATGACATAAGATGCAGTACATGAGTAGCGTCTTACTCCACATGATGTTACATTAATGTAAGACGCAATATATGAGTCACGTTTTTCTATAAAAAAGTATTAAGATCGGAAAATATATCTAAATGAGTGTTTCACATATAAATATAAAATGAAAAGTTGATTTTTGGGAAAATAGCCGGAATTCAGTCCTCCCGTGCCGAAAAAGTAATATTTGGTTGCATCATTCAAATCGTGGTCCTTAGTCTACTCAAAACCATATTACATTAACAAATAAAAGACAAAAATTATTAGGTAGAATAAATCATAAGATGGCTGACTGTTGGGAATTATTGATTTTTGGTTATATTTTTCTCATAATTAGACAAAAACCAATCAATATAAAAGTAATATTTAATTTTAAAATAAAAAAATAAATATATGTACTCGTATTAAAAAGTTGTCCTCAAACGCCAACGATAATATAATGATAGACCATGACACACGGTCGAGATTAAGACCAAAATGTCAAACCCCACCCAAATCCAACATCTCACTTCACTTCTAACAGCACACTGTTCTCCTACACTCTCTCTATCTTCCCCCACCATGAAACCACCTCTGCCACCATTGTTCTTCCTCCTCTTCCTCCTCTTCACCACCGTCACCTCCGCCGCCACCACTGTTAATGCAACTAAACCAGCCACCCCTAAAACGCCCACGCTGTCCCCTACTCCTCCTCCCACGTACTCCCCAACCTCACCCACCACTAAAGGTCCAACTTCTTCCCCACTAGACCCTAAACAAATAGAAGCACTCCAATCCCTCGATATCCCCACCACAAGAGACCCCTGCGTTCAGCCTTCACCTCATAACGCCACCGTCTGCGACAACTCCAAGACCGTCCGCCACCTCATTTCGCTCCACCTCTCCAACTGTTCATCCGACCTTTCACTCTCCTTCAATGCTCTCAAGTCCCTCTCTTCTCTCCGTTCTCTATCTTTCACTAACTGCCACGCATCCCCTATCCGCTTCCCTTCCGATCTCTCCCTTTCCCTCACTTCCTTCTCCTGCATTCAATCTCTCCGGCGTCTCTCTGGCGTGTGGCTCTCGCGTTTCGTTAACCTAACTGATCTCACGGTTTCCGGCACTCCGGTTAGTGCGCGCGGTGTTTATGTAATCCTCGGAAACATGCATAAGCTTAAGACGCTCACCATTTCTCATGCTAATCTTACCGGTTTTCTTCCGAGGCACTTGCATCTGAATCTGACCCATGTCGATTTATCCGATAACAAGCTCAAAGGAAAGATACCAACTTCCCTGACGCTTCTTGAAGATCTCGAATTCTTGAATCTTTCCTCGAATGGGCTGAATGGGGAGATTCCCACAGAGTTCGGTGACTTGATATCGTTGAGGAATCTGTCTTTGGCTTCCAATTCGTTGTCTGGGTCAATCCCGGATTCCATGTCAACTATTCCAGGCTTGGTTCATGTCGATCTGAGTAATAACCATTTAAATGGAACAGTTCCGAAGTTTTTGTCAGAGTTGAAAGGGTTGAAAGTGTTGAATCTGGAGAACAATGGGCTTCATGGGGTATTACCTTTCAACGCTAGTTTTATTAAGCGATTGGCTGTTTTCAAGGTTGGTGGGAATGACAATTTGTGCTACAATCATTCTGTTTTGCCATCAAAACTGAAGCTCGGGGTTGCTCGATGCGATAAGCACGGATTGCCCATGTCACCGCCGCCTTCGAAGGAGTCTTCTGCAGACAGTGAGAGTGACTCATCAGATTATAGTGATGATGCTGCAGATGATACAACTAATAAGGAGAAGCATCATAGGCCGAGTAAGGTTGTTATTGGTTTTGCAATTGGTATTTCTTCAATAGTTTTCCTCATTATTTTCTTGATTCTACTCGCAAAATGGTGCCGGTGAAGGGAAAAAACTTGTGTTTTCTAGTTAGATCTCTAGATTAGGAGAAATTTGGTAATTAGAGTTTCCATTTATTTATTATTGATATTTAATTACACTTGATTTATGAAGGGAAAAAAAGGAATCTTTGTACTGGTGTGTTATTTTTTGCTGCTCTATTGGCCATTGAACGGCTAAAAAGATGTGTTACATATGTTTTGTAATCTGAGGTGGATTAGGATCTGCTAATGATGATTAAAGGTAGACGTTTTTTCTCAATAGTATGAATTCTTCTTCATCTTAAAGCAGCTCGTTCATTCATTGTGATTTATGTAAAGATTCTGCACATTGTCTCTCTTATCTTTGTTCATTTAATGAAATTGTTAATGTCCCAATGGAATTGTTGATGAAAGGTTTGCGAGTATTGAAATCAATGGCAAGTTTAAGACAAGTTAGCTTTTACCCTATAACAACTACCAGGTGTCTTTCTGTCACTTCTGACTTATATTCGCCAAACATTTCTACCGAATCCTGCAGCTGTCTCCAAACCACATGTAGCTGTTTATCATTCATTTGCAGCTGCTTCAAACCACATGAAGCTTTTAGCCTCCTTGATACGGTGAAATGAACTAAGATCTTGGGCCAATTGTTTTTTATATTGAAGTAATCAAAGTACTTGAATAGAGAATATTCTTCCAATTGAACATTATATCAATAAAGTAAACCAACAGAAAGAGCACTTACGATCCCAAAATACATAAATAGATATGTTCAGGAAGATAATAACCGATGAACATAAACTGGCCAAAACCAGATACCCAAAACTAAAAAACAAACTTAAACGAGATCATATCTTGCTATTTCTAAGAAATATTTTGGGACTTGTTAAGGATGACACCTTCATATTTGACCTGGAACCACTTCATCGCATCCTCCTTGGTAACTCTGTGCTGAATACCAACACGTGACTTGCACCTGCGGCGACGGCCAACACGGTACCCAGCTCGCTCAAGAACAACATAGAAGTCCATTCCATAGATACCAGTAGAAGGGTCATACCTACAAAAAGAACAAGAGTTGTAATTTATGCCTTAATAGGCTTCATACATCAAGGCCCAACACATCTACTTGCAGAGTGAAGCTGGCATACGTACTTTGTATTAACTTAGTTACAAGTATAAAAGAACAGACAACCACAAGAACAGTCCATTAACTGTCTCAAAGGAAGATTAATTGGAAAAGCAACTACGTTCTTAAATCCTAAAACCAGTCCCAAGTCCCAACCCCAATATTAAACCAAAATCATTGCAAGTTACAAAAATGTGTCCCAATTCAAGTAGCAGAAATATTTTAATCATAATCTTTTGATGAACACCAACGACTAACCTGTTAAAGATCCCGAACTTAGTCATACAGTGAATTGAAATCAAGTATACAAAATGCAGTATCAATGTAAAAAAACCTCAATTACAATACACCATAAATCAATAAATATGTGCCGGAAAAAAAACTCACTTGATGCCAAGATCAATGTGCTCCTGGATGCCGAATCCAAAGCAGCCAGTATCACTGAAGTTCCTCCTCAAAAGCTCATACTCCTTAACCTTTAAACCACTCTCAAGAAGCTGCATAGCCTTCTCTCCCCTCACTGTCACGTAGCAAGCAATTTTTTCATTACGCCTGATTCCAAAAGATCTCACAGTGTACCTAGCTGCTCGCATCAAAACGCCCATTTTTACTTTTCATTAACAACGAAAACCAACAAAAGAGAACTCAAAATCAGCATTTGTTTTCCGGAATTTTTACCCTTGGAGAAGACGGGAGTTTGACCGCTGAGTTGTTCTAAGACCTAAAAAGGACCAAAATAAAGAGAAATAAACAAAATGTAAAAGATTAGGGGATGGGGGTGAATAGCTTTCCTTTCAGGGTTTTTGCTACTTACCTTGGCGGCACGGGTGAGACGATCACCGCTTTCACCAACGGAGATATTGAGGACAAGTTTTTGAACCTTGATCTCCCTCATTGGATTCGACAGCTTCTTCTCTGATGCCTTTCATCGTCCAAAAAAGAAATTTTTTAAACCAAAAAAGATATTGAGACACGTATTAACGTAGGATAAAAAGATGCAGAAAGAGGGAGATGTACCATGGCAAATCGACAGAGGTTGAAGGCAGCGGAGGCGGTGGCAGAGTGATAAAGGGGCAGTTGCGTTAAAATACGGGGAGTTTTAAAAGAGAGGAGTTTAGGGCTAGGGTTTTTTCTATGCTTTAATTTACGAGTTTACCCTTTGGGTCTTATTTATAAACAGGGAAACAATCAAAGAGACACTTGCGAGTTGCGACAAACCAAACTAACATAAAAATATCTATCATACTCTAGTTAATCACGTATTCCAATATCTTTAGACGTTTACTTTTTAAATAACATTTTTAATTTTAAGGTAATAATGATTTTATAATAATATGGGACAATATTATATTTGGTGTTTATATTTTGACAAAATGTTATATATGATATTTATATTTTTAAAATGTTTAATATCATATTTATATTTTTAAAATGTTTAATATCATATTTATATTTAATAAAAACAACTTAATATGATAAGTGTATTTTAAAATTTTAAAATGTGATAATATAATTTGATAAGATATGGATTAATGAGTATGAAATGTAACAATCAATAAAATTTAAACTTGAAATTATATAATTATATATTAAAATTTTGATTAATTAATTAATTAATTTTAAATCAAACTAACAAATAATCAAATTTCTCAAAAAAAATTGACCAAACAATAATTGAAAATATTTTAACCATCAACTGAATTAATATGATTTGATTTATTAGTTTGATGACATAACATGAACATTCAATAATGTCTCATCCCAATCTAATTTGCTCCATTCACAAATGTCAAGATCCAAATCTCTGATATTGCTTAAGAAATCTAATGCATCGTCCCACAATACCAATTGGTTGTTGATTGAGTGTTGAATCTTTAACACTCCCCTGAGATTGATAAAACCGCGTTTCTTTTTTCTTGATCTATTTCTTCAAAACATCCCCTCAAAGTCTTAAATCACTATAGTGCAGCAGCAATCCCTCCTAATGCAATGTTTACACTTGTATCTATCATAAAATATCTTCGAGTTGAAGGCACAGACAAGGAAGCTGAAATTTATGCCGGCTGTTGTTACAACAAAGCCAACACCCTCGGATCTAGAGTTTGAAACTTTCACAGCTTCCCCACTCTCATCCGGATTTGGGACCTCACAACTAATTGTTTTACACCAACCTGCATTAACACAAATATAAAGCGCCACGACCGATTGTATTGTATTGTACTGATTTTAAGTGCCGTTTGTAATCGTACGGCATACAATGTTTGGATTTCTTCCCACCACATTTTTGTTACTGTACTCGAACGAAACAACTAATTAAGGGGAAATTCTCAATTTCTGCCTACCCATAATCACAAATAAATAAATTTTCCACTCTAAAAATGAAGACTTTTGACATTTTATGTTATCCTGTTCTTTTTTCAAGTGTTTACTTCTTGAATACATGATTGCTCACCAATCACATCTTTCAAAATTAATAAATAATATATTGAAAAATATGGATAATACGCAATAGAATGGATCTCTGACCGGTTTTGCCAAAATGCTCAAGACTTAAGAGCATAATATTGAGCCAAAGAATCATTACGTTTTCTCTACTCGTCCAATCTATTCACCAATCTAAGGAATGACCAAACGAGACTCTCATCTCCTCTACCTTCATTCCTCTTTGGCCAATTTATAGCAATGCCCAACCAGCCATGTTCATTTTGGTACTTGCCAAGCCGATTCCATCAAAGGCTTAAGAAAAATGTTGACCATCAGCTCTGCCATATAGCTTCGCTGAGATGGTTGAAAAAGAATGACAGCACAGCAGCGTAAGAAGAGTAATAACATTACTTTGAACAACCATTAATAACAATTTGTCTGCAATTCGAAGTCGGCCACCACAATAACTAAACATAACTAAAGCGCATAACCAAACCCAAAAACCAACCACCCCTTTTGTCTTCCAGCCATTTCTATGAGGGACCTTCCAAGCAACAAATACACAAACTTTTTCTCTACTACCAGATTTGTGGTCTGTTATCCACATTGGTTCTTTTTACTATCAAACATGTTACATGTACACAACAGAAATTTGATGAAAAGCAAATTCATACAACAAAGGAGCAAGAGAGGTAGAATTGAAGAGAAAGATGAAGAGATGGCAGCCATCCAGCTGCCAGAGACTGTATGTGTCGAGGGAGAGCAGAAAATGATGCTAGACAAACCCTCAATCATGGTAATCCAGAGATAGTATTTCCCATGTGTCACGCATCAACTAGGAGATACCAAATCTCATATAACTTCCAAAGTTTTATGTTCCAGCTGGATGCATGGAATGTTGTAGCCCCATTTGCCGTATCACATGATCTGGAATCAACTTATTAATAAGCTCTGGCGAAGACCCAGACAACTGTAACCAAAAGAAATGCATGTAAGAGTCTATTTGTTTGGATGTAATTGATTTTCTGAAAATTGAATTCTGAAAAATGAATTACTAGAATTCGAATTCTAGAAAATGAATTACATTTCTAGAAAATGTTTTCCGAAAAATATTTTCCGTAAAATGAATTACATTTTTCTAAAAAACATCTGGAAAATATTTTACGATGTTTAAACTTTTTTCCACTAGTTGATGAGTTTTTTAAAAATTATTTATTACAAATATTAAATACAATAAATAATATTATTTATTATAAAACTTAATATTATTATTTTTAAAAAATATTATAAATTATATTAATTATTTATTAAAGTAAATGTTATATTATATTTTAAAAATATTAATGTGTATATTTTAAATATCTTTATTAAAATATTATTAGATTATTATATTAATATTAAATATATAAATAATATTAAAAATTTATTATATATTACTAAAATAAAAATATATATAATATCTTATATTATATTATATTATATTATTATAATATAATTGATTATTTTATTATAATATTATATTATTAGAAATATTAATAAATATATTTTAAATATTTTAATAATTAATATTTTTTAAAATTAAAATCATAAAATAAAATTATTTTGAGTATTTATTCTTTGAAGTGAAAAGTTCGAAAAATGAATTGCGAAAAATCAGACCGTAAGTCATTTTCCAGAAAATACAAAGGAAATTCTGTTGATCAGAAAAATGTTTTACGTTGACTAAACAGTTTTTCTCCAACCAAACACAGGAAAACATTTTCAGGAAAACTAATTACGTAAAACAAACACGGGAAAACATTTTCCGAAAAACAAATTACGTGAAACAAACACGGGAATTCGGGGGAAACCAATTACGGAACAAACAGACCCTAACTTACACAGCATTGATTGAACATGAAACACAACCTCAGATAGAAAATAATACAAAGTATTTCATGAAGCTTAGTTCAGAAACATACTTCCTGTTTAAAGTTGAACAGTTGTGGTAAAGGTCGTCCATTTGGTAGCCAAGTATTTGGTTCTCGAAGCTCATCAAAAAAGGGATGTGCACATGCTTCAAGCTGACACAGAAAAAAGCATTTTACAATGACACGACGCTAGGGTGGTTATTACTAACTTTAACATTTTGGAAGCCAAATGCTATTCAAGGGTTGTGCATATTTTTTATGTCTAAAATGGAAATACAGTCGATCAAAGTGGTAGGTCCTAGCAACTTACAGCTGTACAACGAAGACTTGGTGAGTATTGCAGGAGTCTTGAAGCAAGACCAATTGCTTCCGGAGGCATCCTTTTGTGAAAAACCTAAGTCCATGAGCAAAAATATCCACAAGCCATTACAAAAAAAGAAATGTTCCTTCAAAGAGAACAAAAGGTAAACCTTATGCCATGGGTGCGCTTTAATCTGTGGAAACCTGAAATCTGTGTAATTGGGATTCATGCAGCGAATTTCTTCCGTAGTGGGTGTACCTAGGACCTATAGGAAAAGATGTAAGAAGCAGACTTTTGATACAAGAAAAGTAAATTCAAGAATCACTAAGCAAATCATACCTTGATAATCTCTACATGCTGGTCCACAGCATTCTCCCCAGGAAACAATGGCTACAGAAGATAAAGAAAAGCTAACAATGATCAGAGAAATGAATTATTGCTAGAGATTTTCAAAAAGACCAAAATCAGAAAAAAGAGCAAACACTCACCTGGCCCAGCAAAAGTTCAGCAAGAACACAACCAGCCGACCAGATATCAATTGAGGTTGTGTATTCCGTGGCACCAAACATAAGTTCTGGTGCCCGATAGAATCGTGAACATATGTATGAAATGTTAGCTTCTCCTTTGACCTGATCACATGTAAATTAATAGTATGTGTGAAGTATTGATGCAAAAAAATAGACAAGCAAAATAGGACTATGAACACGTTAATACTACTATTTGATCTAATCCAACTTCAAAGCATTAGTAGACTCAAAATGTGTGTCAATAAAATACCACAAGTTTCCCACCCCCACCATCCTTTTCTTCTTTATTCCTTCATGCCTACAACAAAGAGGCCTAAAAAATACTGGTAATGCTAACGAGGGAGAAGTGCCCATTTGAAAAGGATCAAGCTAGAAAAGATTCAAGGCCATTTAAAATTTAATATATATTAAGCATTTATAATGATGTAAAAGAAGACAGGTTGCACGAGCTTTAGCAGAACCAACAGTAAGGAGTCATAACCTTGTGTTATCAGAATGCTTCTGCAAGCTAGTACAAGAGAAATACCATCCACCTTTTACAAATGGCAGATGATAACATGTGAGATAAATCCCTTTAGAAGTTACAACCAGAGTCAAACATTCAAAATATTTTTAAAAAGAAGAGCAAAAACTCTAGTTTTAGAATTTATGAACCCAATAAAAATGTTTCACTCGGAGCAAAACTAAACAGCCAAATTTGAAAGCAAGGCCACTTGAAATATTAGTAAAAAGGGGTCAACTCACAAGCACTTTTGCACTTCCAAAATCACAAATCTTAACCTGGTGTGTCAAAGGATCAACCTGTACAAACAACAATTATCTCTCAGAAACTATGTCAAGACATTGTACAGATATTTTATCAGTAAGAAAAGCATACCAACAAGATCGAAAAGGGATTTCGAAAGAGCATATAAACTGAAGATCCAGAAAATGCAGAGAGGAGATAACAGATTGACAGATCCAAAATAACAAGACAAAATTTCCATCATCTAGGGTTCGACGATTAGCTCAACCAACAAGATCGCCGTTTAAGAAGAAAAAGAATATACGATTTTATTTTCATAAACGTACATGAAAACAACTAAATAAAATCTGCAAATCTCGTAAAAAATCCCACTGACACAAAAATAAACAGCACAGCTAGAAGTAACGAAAAATCCAGCAGACTTTCAGAAACAAAAACAAAAAGTGCAAACTATAATAATAAAAAAATCACCAGAAAAAGACTGAAGTTTTCCAAATTCACGATGTACCATTAAAAAAATTAATGATAATAATGATGTGATATTTTTAAATTTATACTTAACGTTACATTTTATTTTTTTTTGTTACCATATTTTTAAAAAATTAATGGCAATACTGATGTGATATTTTTAAATTGTTTTTTTTTATTTTTCATTTAATTATTCTTTTATTATTTTTTGACATTATAGAGAATGTTAAAATCTAACATGTAGCATCTTAAAAGAGGGTCATGTTTGTTTAGTGTGAGTAGTTGGGTGTTTAATAAAATTTATTGATATTTTTTATTTAAAATTTGATGTATTTATTAGGTAGTTTATTAAACGTAACAATAGAATAATTTATAAGCAAATTTATTAAATTTTGCTTGTTTTACGATTTAATTTTTTCGATACTTGTTATTAGGGGCCTAATTTCTATGTTCGTCTCATGCCACTAAAATTTCAGAAACGGACCTGGACCTGGACCTGGTGATTACAAGTTGTATATGTTCTAAAGATTCTTAATCATTTGACAATAAAAGCTCAAATACTTTTGCAGTATCTACTGCTTAAACATGAAGAAATAACATCTCTTTAGCCACTGAAATGATTTGGTTGATGTGTCATTATACCTTTTAAATATTTACTTTTTTAATGTATTATTTTCATTTCTTTCATTTATAAACATATGAATTCAATTTGTCACGTCAATAAAAGTATGTATGGACTTAATAATGTCTTCGAGATGTCTGTATAAAAATACAGTGATCTTTTAAGAGCGCTTGGTTCTCTCTATTGCCCTCTCTCACCGCCACTGTTAGCAGCTGCTTTGCTTCCTCCCTCATTGTCTCTAGCTTTTCAGTCACTTACAGTTATCCCACTCTCTCTTATTCATTCCACAAAATCAGTTACTTATCATCAGTAAAATTTACACAAAACCAAGCCCTTAAACTAAATATACCAAGTTCACACTAAGTTTGTGCCATTTGGGAGCAAACAAGGGTTTCTCGGTCGTCGTACCATACCACCGACTAATGGCAACCTTCTTTGACGGATTGAGTTTCTTGTGAAAGAGACTAACCCAACTCGTTTTTTAGTTTCTTTTTGAATGAGCATCTCATGTCTTGGGACACTAAACATGGAATTTGTTGCTTTTGTTTCTGCACATCCCTTTTGTTTAGGAGTAACTTTTATTTGTTGGGTCGTCGTGTACGATAACCTGATTTTTGCTCGCTACCAATTTGAATGCCTGCCTGTACATGATGACCTTGTAATTGCGAATTTTATAGAATCTTCTCGTTCAAATAATAATAATAATATCTTAGAGATACACATGCATATACTCAAACTTTATGATTTATGAACCTTCGCTTCCTAAGCACTAATAAATTGAAGGTTATATGGACCGTGTTGGTTCAAGTGGTACACGGTCCAGTAGTAAGTAATTCAATATCGCTTAAGTAAATCTCATATTTAAAGTCATGTTTATGCATCAAACCTCTGTTGAGAAATTCATTTATTAAAATTAAGTGTACAGCACATATCGATCTAAATTAATCAAGACAAAATTATAAAGCAATACGTATAATTGGGCGAAATCTAAGGTTCCATTGGAGCATCCCATCATGTGCTTTCTGTAGACTTATCCAATTTGACGCTACATTCCTTATTTGGTAATTTGAAAAGTTTGAAATTCTTATATATATATTTTTTAATAATTATTAGAAATCGTTATTTTTTTTTTAATTTTTTCATAGTTATTTTAGGCACCAATAAATAATTTTATTTTATCATTCTTTATTATTTTAGATTTTTTAAAATCTTTTTAAAATTTATATAATTAAACAAGAAAATTAATTAGTTTTATTGTTTAGATTTTTTAGGTTTGAGGGATTTATGTGTTTGTTTGAAATACAAACGGTCAAATAATATATCTCAAAATTATACTTATCAAATGACTATCCGAGGTTTGAAGTATTAACATGTCAAATATTTAAATATATTTCATTAATTTATAATGAATTTTATGGAAAATCAAATCAATAAGGAAAAAGAGTGAACTGCAAATGTTTTGATATCAATCTTGTTATGAACAATGACCAGTGATGAGCGACAATTGACTACTAACGAAGGTCGAAAACATCAATGACTAAAATTGAATTTTTCAAAAGTTTAGTGACAAAATCAATTACAAATTAAATGACCTATACAATCCTCAAAAACGACATTTTAAGCATCAATATATACTCACCAAAATAACGTTATTTTGATTACCTCATCACGTTGACGGAACTGTCACCCAAATCAATATATTATTTATCATTAACAGTCCACTGATAAAAAAATAAAATTTAGTATTATAATCATATCAAATTATAGTTTAATAGTAAATTCAATATAAAAACAAAAGTTCGGTCATATTAGGTATAATTTATCTTATTAAATAAATAAATGACGTGTCAAAATTTTAGGGAGGGGGCATGACATGAAGGCGGGGCACAATTCAAGGGCAAGGGATATCTATTCCAAACAATCTCTCCCAATTCTCGTGTCTTTTGAGGGACTTTCCTTCTGCCATCATATAACCCCCACTGGAGGACCCTTTAGAAACTTATAAGTTGAAGCATTGATCAATGGACTTCGCGATTCACCTGTAGGGTAATATTGAATATTACAGATCCTTAGGAATTGAGCCAGATCGTGACAATGTAAGTACTTTGTCTTGTTTATTCTTCTTTTCCTCTAGGAGCTTTTTTTCTTGAGGTTTGATATTGGTGTCTGGCGAATTATATATCACCTCGTTGAATGCGTATATTCTATATACGATGCTTTGAGTCCATATATCATAAATGAACAAAGAAAGCAAAAGAATCCATTGTGGTCTTAGCTTTAATGTTTGGTGGGAAGTAGCTGTTGTTTCGGATATGATATGATACTTGCATTACAAGGTAAAAGATTTAAATAGTTCGGGTGGAGTTTGAGTTTGCCAACCGATCTGTCTTGCGTTTCACTCCTTTTACGTTTCTAACTCGCTATCGCCCACTCAGCGTTTTCTTTGAATTCTTCCATCTTCTCTGACGTTCTTATTTTATCAACTACACCCCATTTTTCTTGTTGCTTGGTTCTTTTACCAACAACTGAAAACTTAATTAGTTGAACTCGCATTTGTTGACGGGTCCTTGTAAGAAAATGACGGGAATAAAAAATAGTAAAATTGGCTGGTACAAGTTTGTAAGACCTCCATGTTATTGTCATCTAAACATTAGTTTCCGATTAGGAATTCCATGTTTTTTTTTTCTTGTTCATGTCAAAACAAGAAATGAAGCTCCATTGAGATAGAGAGATTGAGAGATAGAGAGAGTTGCATCGAACTTTACTCGATGGGAAAGCAGGGATCACCGAGACGGGCACGTCCCGTCTCACAGATTACTAACTCATTTTTCAGGACGAAAGATTATCATATTAGAAGTAGTACTTCAGATTCTTTGGGGGGCACTGATCTCTCTATTGGCAGGAGAATATTAGGGGGAGATAACTATGGGAATTCCAAAGTAGTTTTGCTCCATGGTCTGAAAGATGATTCCGGGAAGTTGAATCCTTGCAAGGGCGTTTATGTTGGGAAAAAGCATACATGGTTTAGGCGGAATGTGAAGTCAATTTCTTTTATGTTGTTGTTTATGGCTTTGATGTTGCTGTTGATGGTTTTCCTGTTCTTGCTTGATTCTCTGATGGTGTCACTTTTTGCTTCAGTAAACCTTCAAGGCAGTTCAACTTCAAGATATTCCAATGGCAGTGAGGTATGATTATTGTTTACAATTTTATTTAAGTTCTTCCCATTTCTATTCTGGAGACGAAATTTGGAAGTTAAAGAGGTTTCTGAATATCATCTGGCTTAAAATTAACTCTCTAAGAAGCAATTTTTTGGACTGAATTGCTTTCTCGGATCTGGGAAGGTCATGGATTGTCAAGGAACATAAAGAATCCGGTTAACATAGGCTAAAATGCATTCACATTGTTATTAATCATTGTTTTGTATTATTTATGCAATGAATTCTGAATTGAAACCAATTACCTGTTATTCATTTCCCTACATGTATGCTAAGGAGGATAGAACTGCCTATGCTCATGAAGAAAGACCATCAGTTCACATGTACAGCAGGCTTCTCAATTTGGCTTCCGGTTCTCTTGCAGAGGTATGCTTCTTAACTTGTATATTAAGCACATTAAATATTTTATATCACCTTAAAGAACTTAATATGAGTTAGTTTTTCCCTAACATTTGAAACTTTCCTTTGAATCCAGAAGGAGTTTAAGAAAGACAGTCTGAGGGACGAACCTTACTATCAAACATCCAAATGGAGACCTTGTGCAGATAAAAAATATCCGACTAGCCCAGGTAAATACCTTGCTTTGAACTTTATCTGCATATAGCAAAAGTATCTAGTGTTTGGTAACTGATAATGACAGCGTATAATCTATGGCCAACGATGTGAAACTGAATAATAACATGCTTCCATGCAATAAGTTCTTTTGCTTTTCTTTGTTGAGACAGGGAAGCCTGCAAAAAGCAATGGCTATATAATGATCAGTGCAAATGGTGGTCTGAATCAACAACGAGTAGCTGTTAGTTTCAATTTGCATTTTGTTCTTCTCTTCATTGTTTATTGCTTTTTACTTGCATTACAACTTGATTGTTGTTCTCTGCAGATTTGCAATGCAGTTGCTGTGGCATCTTTACTCAATGCAACTCTGGTTCTTCCTAAATTTCTTTACAGCAATGTATGGAAAGATCCTAGGTCTGAAACCATGTCTCATACAGTAAAACTTATCTTCTGGTTTCTTGTCATCACATTTTTTTTCTTGCTTTAAATTTCAAATGCAATCGATAACGAACAATTTTCCAATGGAAAACCAGCCAGTTTGGAGACATCTACCAAGAAGACTATTTTATGCGCATCTTGAAGGATGACATAGATATTGTAAAGGAACTACCTCCTCATTTGAAGTCCTTAGATACTGAAGCCATTGGTAGCATAGTACGTTGTCTTATGTTTCTATACATTGCTTTAAAAGCTTGTCTTCATTTCTCATGATAATCTAAAACCTCTGATCTTAGTGTTTTTTTTTTAACTCAAAGCAGATTACTGATTCAGATATAGTAAAGGAAGCAAAGCCGGATGATTTCCTTAGCAGTGTACTTCCCCTTCTTCTGGAGAAAAGAGTGGTTCATTTCCTTGGGTTTGGCAATCGACTTGGTTTTGACCCATTGCCTCCTCACCTCCAGGTCTGTGACATCCCCATGCAGGGTTAACTAGGATAATCATGCAAAAGAACTGAAATTTGGAAGAGCACTCACTAATCACTAGTGATCCTTGTTCTTGAAGTTAAATCATAATGTGAAGTGCTTTGCTCCATTGCAGAGATTAAGGTGTAAATGTAACTTCCATGCATTAAAATTTGTGCCAAAAATCCAAGAAACTGGTTCATTATTAGTCAAAAGGATAAAGAAATCCTATGCTGCACCCCGCCAATTGGATAAACAGTTGCTAGGAGATTTCACACCCAGAATCTCCTCCAAACAGCATAATGTTGCTAGAGGCACATCCAAATATCTTGCCTTACACTTGAGATTTGAAGAGGACATGGTTGCATACTCCCTATGTGATTTCGGTGGTGGAGAAAATGAGAAAAAAGGACTTCAAGCCTACAGAGAGATCCATTTTCCATTGCTCATTGAACGCTTGAGGAACACAAAGTAATATTCCTAGCCCCCTATCTGTCTTCTGCCATGGTTATTTTACTTATTGTTGTTTTCATGCACATATTTTGGCTGACTTGGTCTATTCTTTCTACCATTGCCTGCTTGTAGGCCTGTTTCTCCGGTGGAACTGAGGAAGTTGGGGAGATGTCCATTGACACCTGAAGAAGCAGCACTTGTGCTTGCTGCTCTTGGTTTCAAGCCTGAAACTTATATTTATCTTGCAGGGTCTCATATATATGGAGGAGATTCCAGGATGCACCCCTTTACCAGTTTGTACCCCAATCTGGTCACTAAGGAAACACTGCTTACACCCATTGAACTTGCTCCCTTCAGAAACTTCTCTTCTCAGGTATTTTAGCACTTTAGACAATTTTGTCAGATTCTACCATATTTAACTTACAAATGCCAAAGCAAAGCCGCTTTTCATAAAAATTTTCCTTGGATACAGCTAGCAGCTTTAGACTTCATAGCTTGTGCAACTTCAGACGTCTTTGCCATGACAGACTCTGGAAGCCAACTATCATCTCTAGTATCTGGATTCCGAACTTACTACGGTGATGGGCATGCTCCAACCTTGAGGCCTAATAAGAAGAGGCTAGCAGCAATTTTGGCAGAAAATAGAACCATAGGATGGAATACTTTTGAAGATAGAATAAGAAAAATGATCGAGGAAGGTCAAAGAGTGCGGGTGAGGGGCTCCGGTCGTAGTATTTATCGACAGCCACGGTGCTCAGAGTGCATGTGCAGATCTCAGTAAGGCAATATGAAAACCAAGAGCCTGGAACAATATGCTGCATTGGCGGCATTTCATTCCTTTTTTTATTTCATGATCATGATTGCTTCTTCATTCATTTGATTCAAAGTGTTAAAATATTCAATAATTTTGTTCACCCAAATTTTCATTTGCAATAAAAAAAAATGCATTACTAGAGAAGATTCTGGTTAATAAAGATGTTGCCATTTTCCAAAGTCTCTTGCGGAGACTTTTGCAAACATTGTTCAAAAAATTCTTCAACTTGAACAACTAATTCTTACAAGGAATGATGAATTGGATTAAACCTGAATAACCCAACTTGAATATATCATGGGAGATAGAGGCAAATGCAGTCTCTCAGCAATGAAAATCACATGAAACTCCATTCTTCAGGCTGTGATCATCAATCATCTTCACATATCTCCTTTAGCACTTCGATGATGATAGTTTATGATGGTGGGAAGAAACGATTGAGGTTGAAAGGGAGTGTGTAAAACTCTTCATTCCGGCTATCTCCTTTGAATGACCGAAATTTAACCCACCAGGGCATTCCTCTATCTCTGGCACTGTCTTTATAGTCGAGTGTGTTGTCCAGGAATACAGCAACGATTAACGCGACAGTTGGTGATGAAAAGAATATGGTATTAAGGAAATCATTGAACTGCATGCAAAACAAAAACATGTCAGTGTCATTGTTAAGAAAATCATTGAATACGACCAAGGAACACGTGGACATTTTAACTCACCCAGCCACCCCTGGTATGAGCAGGACCATGAAGAGCCTTTGCAGTGTATTCTCTGAAGTACTCGGGAACAGATAAACCTAAGAACAGAGCAACACCCACAATAAAGAGATTCCTCATAGAGTTCATGTTCGTAAATTGCAAGAACGACAGCCCCACGGAAGCTGAAAGCAATCAAAGCCATAGTTAGAAATAAATCAATACTAAGTAATGGTAATACAAAAGGGATATTGTGATACGCACCAACAAGACCAAACAAAACACAATACACAGCAGCAAATATGGTAAAAGGTATTGATGCAAACAAAGCTCCAAATTTTCCTGCAGATGTTAAATAAGTCAAAAGAAGAAACTATGACAGACATTCCAGAGAATAAAAAAATTCTAGTAACTTACCTAACATTGAGAAAAATATCATAAAGCCAGCTGAGATTTGAATGACCCTCCGGCTTCCGACTCGAGTGCTTCCAAGGAGCCCCACATTTTCTCTGTTATTTCTCGTGGAGTTAGTATAGTAGCATGTAATATTTTCAGAGATAGAAAGCAACATTACTTACGCAGAGACTGTTGAACCAGTCAGTGTTCCAAATAATCCATTCAAAAGGATCCCGATGCCTTGCCAGCCAATACCCCGACTAAGGACATGTGCTGGAGGCGGTGTGGCACTGGCTAGACGTGACGCGGCCTTGTACGCTCCGGTTGACTGTCAAAACAAACATTATTTGGTTCTTATTAACTAAATAACAGTGCGTTTAATTTAGTTTCTAGTTCTAATTATCAATACCTCAATCAATGAGACTAAAACAGCAGCCACCATTCCAAAAGCATGCCCAGCATCAAAAGTAGGAGCACCCCATTGAAGAGGATAAGGTATCTTTATCCTGATTGAATAAATTTCAGTCAGAAAAGATAACACAATCAAGTTCATCCTCTTTTAATGTCCTCTCAGTGTGCATAAAAATATTTTACTAATGGGGAACAGCTTTAGTACCAACCATGGAGCAGAAGAAATGAGGTTAGCCTTGTCAGTTCTGCAATTCAATTGGGTTAACTCTGGACGATGTTTATATGCACCACTTGCTGTCAAGAGATGAGCATATGCCCATATCACTGTGATTGATATAAGGAGAGCAAACCGTTCCAATATTGGAAGTTGTTTTAGCTGAAAATTCTTCAAGTACTGTTTTTTGACACAAAACATTATCAGATATATGGTACTCGCCCGTACAAGAGTTCGAAAACCAAATGCATTTTAAAGAAGATTAAGAATACTTTAAAGATGAATTTGACCTCAATTGATAAAGAAGTTAGTATCAATCTGTACCTGGGAGAAGGCTATAAATAGAATAAGCATGGGAATGCCGATTTCCACACATCGACCAACCTGATAGAGAGTTTAACAACAAATTAGAACTACATGAGTGATAAGACAAGAGGAACTTTTCATTCAATGATTCAAAATAGAATCATAGTTTCTATGTTATACCACAGGGAAGCCTCTATCAAACAAGCCAAAGCCCACTAGTGCAATGACTGGAACCATTCCAAGGGGGCTGAAGAACCTGAAAAGCCAAAAGGTTAATTTTTTATGTCAATAGTTCCTCAAATTGTGTTTCCTGAATTTGGGGACAGAATCTCCATTCAAGATTAAAATTGTACCTGGAGCAAATGGCCCACATCTGACTGTATCCCAGGATAATTTGTATGCTTGATGCTACTATTAATGCTCCTTGAACAGCTCTCATAGTGTTTATGAATCTCTGCACAATGCATACAAATAAAAGATCTTCTAATGAACCAACAGCTCATATCCTTTGATCTGAAATGCTACTAGGTTCCACCTTAGCCTAACTAATGAAGTATCCCTGATGTTTCAGTAATAAGATAGCGAGTGCACCGCTGCAACTTGTTTACAATTTCTTGTACTTACTAGGGTCATCAATAGTCAATACAGCTAAACAGTGTGAGCAAAAACAGGATGACAATTCACTGACGTGACTCTTTTGAAGACTTTGGTGCATGCAAGCGTTACAAAATCAACACTAAGCTGAGCAAGTGGGTCTCACAAATATTGACCTTAGGTCCTTGATGATTCTCCTTTTTCACAAGAATATTGAAAAAATGCAACCGTTACAAAGTATAAGATTGAAAAGTGTACTAACCACGTGATTGTCCTCGATACTCATCAAGGAAGTATCATGAATTATTGATATTATGGGAACCATGAAGGCATAAGACCCCCCAATCACGGTAGGCAACCGAGTCCCGAACAGTGTTTGTAGAAGTGTATTAATCCCTTCAACAAATAGTAGTGTCTGCACCACTCTTACTTTATCATCCTAAACCATAAAAAAGTGGGAAACCGTGTTTAAAAGAAAGTAAAAAAAAAAAGGATAAAAAATCATGTTAAACACACGTCTTATGCTTTGTGTGTATATGATAAAGAAAGGAAATCTGAAGAATATCCAAAGGCCAGAAAAGAAGAGAATCAGTGAAGAATTCTATTCATTCAGCATATAAATCAAAGTGACATACATCAGTTCCACCCATCAAAGGAACAAGAAAAGAAGGGATCATCACAGCAGTTCCTAAAGCCAAGATGTAATGTTGAAACCCCAAAGCTATAGTCTCCCCTGCTTCCACAAGCAAAATATGAGCGTTACAACTTACAAACACAAAACAAACCGATAATGCGGAGAAAAAAGATTATTTTTTTAAGGAAAAAAAAAACAGGACACACCCCAAGAAGGATTTGAGTCAATGCAGTACTCTAATCCTTGAAGTTGATCCATCGGTAGGTGGCTTATTTCTTCAGGTTTTGGAGCTGCCATAGCTTAACCACCAAATGAATCAAAGAATCGATAGGTAAACCCGATGAACGTAATGAATCAACAAGGAAACTGAGGGTGAGGATCAATAATCAATATGAAAAAGAGAATAAAGAAACAAAATATGGACTGCGAAAAAGGGTATATAGAGACTAGGAATGAAGTAAGAAAGCAACGAAAAATTAGGCACTTTGCCGCCCACTAAAAAGGCTTTATTTTTCCTATGCTTCTGTTTATTTACTGTAGAGAGGGAGGGCTTTCTTTTTATTATATATATATATATAGGGAAAAGGTGCCGTTAACTGTTTCCTATTTGTTCCGAAATTGCCCCTTAAGCAACCTGCCAAACTTAATATTACCGTTGGTCTCATTAATACATTAATAAATTGATTTCTACAACTCAGCTTCCTAAATTAATGCTTTTCCTTTTTTTTTAATCACTAATATTCGATCTATTGAACGATTAATATAGATTAGGTAATGCAAAGGCGATAGCGATCCTTTCAACCCAGTTTGCTTTATTCGCAAACGTCATGATTCAAACCACTAGCTTTGCTTAAGAGATCGAATGTCTCATCCCACTAGATCAACTAACTATTTTAAAAAACAAATATTTTCGGTTTGGCTATTTAAATTTATTTTTTAAACTATTTCAAGAGTGCTTAAATATTAATTAAATACTTAACATTAAGAATAGGAAAAGGAAATCGCTTTAGCATATTATTATAAGCAACCATTAATCGGACGTAAATACTTCTATTTGGTAATACCATAACATTGCATCAACTTGAATTTGCAAACTGTTGTACAAGTTCTCTCTTACCATTACAGGCCACAGCACCATCGTTACATAAAAAATACTCTCTCTATGTATACTCTATTTTATAATTCAATATATATATATTACTTATAATCTTTTTTCCCCTTGAAAGCAGAGTAAGAGAGAAAACGTAGGGACATTATACAATTTTTTTTAGTAAAAAATAATGGAAATTAAAAAGTAAACCTTTTGCTTTGAATATCCATCTCTTAACACTTAACTTCCCTATCAAATTCCTATTAAAATGAGCTTTATGTCATCTCCAGCCCTCGTCTCTACTCTATAGCATCTCTATATTTACTCTAGAGATTAAACAATAATTCATCTCCAGCGCTATCTCTACATTTCCATCAACCCTACTTTATTCACAATATTTAACTATTATAATATTAATTTTGTAAATTTAAAAAAAATCAGAAAAATATAAAAAATCAGAAAAATTACAAAAACAATTAGTATGATTATTTATCTAATTTTAATGTATTTTTATCTATCTTATAATTTAATCAAAAATAAAAAAAACTGATTTTTGTAGCGTTGCTACAGTAGCACGCTACATGTAGCGTTGCAAACCCAAATATCTTCAAAGTGAAGATGTATTTAGCGCAGCACTGGAGCCTCTACAGTGCATCTCTATCTTCACTCCAGCGCAGCGTTGGAGATGCTCTTAGTGCCTTACTCTACTTTTCTTTTTCTTTTTCATCCTACTTTTTTGCCTTTTGTTTTTTCCTTTATGTACTTTATTCTCTTTACTAAGTTTTTATAGTTAACATCACTACATCAGATTACATTCAAAAATTAATGTATCAATTAAATTATAATCTAATACAATAATTAGTATAATATTTAAGATAATGTTATTCAATGTATTTAAACACATATTATTTTTAAATTTAAGAATTTTAAAAATAATAATTAATTTAAATATTGTACAAAACAATTATTGTTGTAATTAGACAATTTGATCTTGCTACATTGTCATTTTAGTTTTTGTTTCATTAAAGTGACAATTATTAGGACTTGATAAATAAAATCAGATTTATGTTTTCCGTTCGCGTCTCATGTAACGCCAGTCATCAAATTATTCGAAGTTAATTATTTTCATGGTGCATCATAACAATATACAAACAAAGACTATTGTTGTATTAATGTAGACGTGAATAAATTTAAGATTTATCTTTGGTATCTCAAAATTAGTATGTTTGGTTATGAGTTTTTTAAGGTCTTATATTGTTTAAATATGATTTTTTTATTGTTTAAATGTAATCTTTTACATATACATTTAGTGAGTGATTGAAGATAAGATTAATACATATGCATTGTCACTGTCGTCTAAACCAACAAGTGCGAATATAAATATGTGTCTTTGACACGCTCATAGTTAATTTATTCTTTTTAGACAATTTCTACATCAACATAAAACGTCTTCCGAAAAGTAATTCTTATGTATTGTGCTTTCTATAAAAAATATTTTTTAAGTAGTAAATTTTCATCCTACCTGACATAAAAAATATCAATATGAGAAATAATCTAAAATATGTTTCAAATTCAATATTAAATTTTTAAAGGTGATATTTAAGTAAAAAAAACTCAGTATGTGAGTGTGAAAAATAAATAAAATAAACAATATATATATATACTAAAATCTGAAAGCGAGGACATAACCAATAAAGAAAAAAGGAACAGAGCAGTCTGACTAGGCACCAACGTGTGCGATTCTCCGAGGCCCTCATTTATACAAATCACTGCCCTTTTGTGATTGATACAAATGCAACATTCAACATTGTCTTGTATGATGAACTGAATACGTACCTTTTATGAATTATAATTATTTAGGTTGGAAGTGTGAGCTGATGTAAAGAACTCAAAATATCAAATACAGGTGCAGCAGTAGAGACTTACTCTTGAATAAAATCATTGTAATGATTTTTTTAAATTAAATTAAAATAGTGTCTGAAATGTAACTTTTCAAACTTTAACGGTGAAAAAAAAACCAACTCAAACATTAGTGATATTTTATGTAGTTTACCCTTGCAATATTCATGTGAGTCGTCGATTTCTGGGGGTGGGTTGAATAAGGACAGGACAACAGCGATATAAGTTTACGGTTAAGATATGGCACTAGCGTTGAGATGGCCGAGTTGCCCTAAGGCTCAACACTCTAAGATTTTTACAGGTATCGGCATGTATGGTACTTAATTGGCTTAGCTTCAGCTACTGAGACATAAATGCACCACCCAACAGGAAAGGCCTACGTTTATATGCCCCGTACAGTGTGATTATAGGACTTTCAATATCATGTAATTATGGGAAAATATAGAGCCTATTTTCCCTGTGCATATAAACGACAGAGATAATTATGTGGACATGAACCCAAATGAAAAATGATGAAACAGACTATCCTTGTAGTAAAATGGAATGGACTCCTATGAAATAAGTGCCTCGGATTACGATGGAAATTGGAAAGCATCGGCCATGATTGAGAACCGAGAATATGCTTTCATGAGGTAGACAAAGCGGATCCCTGTTATATTATTGCCAATTTGCCATTCCTTTCGGCCTTGGAAAGCGAGTATAAAGGAAGACATTTTTGACCTACTCTAAGGGATCCAATCTGAATCTCGATTCAGATTTGTTTCCCATTTTCTAAAAAACAAATAAATCTGAATCTAGAATATTATGCAAAAGGGATAGCTTTCTTAACTTTGTCAATAACATAGGTCAAGGTTAGGTTACTGCGAGAAAGCTGGTGAGCAAAAGGCTTCATACATTCGTAATACAGCTAGACAACACTTTCCACCAACAGGTTTACGATTTAAAAAGATTGTCATCATATGAATAACTAATCTATGATCAAATCCATAAAAGCTGCTTTCGAAATATTGGCCACCGTTTTCACATTAATCAAAGCAACATTCTATTTCACAACAAAGATTCTCAGCTCCACAAGATTAAAATGGAGTTACAATTAGGCAAGTAAGGTATTTATATGAGTTTAACTCTAGGCATTAAAAGGTGAAGAAAAACAAAAAGGTGTTCCTAGCCTCAAAATTGTTTACTAGGCAATAAGAACAAGCTCTCTTTTGTCCCTCGTCGTTTCTGCTGCCTGCAATTTGACAACAAAATGGTTTAGCACTATTTCATAATTAAAACCATGCAGCCATGAAGCTGATACTCCATTCCAGATTATAAATGCTTGAAATTGAAAGAGGGAGATGAGAACAACTATCCATCAAGTTATAGGGCTAACGCAAAAGCTGTGTATCCCGTTCCAGCGTTACAAGCTGATAAAAGAACAGTACACGCTCCAACAGTACATAGAGAATCCTGTGCTCCAGCAGGAAGAGGATTTCTTCAATCATTATCCACCTGGAAGTTAGATGAAATGACGAGACTGAGTCGATAAAAGAATGCAAAACTTAACAAGTAAAACTTTGAGCGTGTCCAATGTTTAAAATTAAAATATAATAAAATTACTTTATTTTAATTAATTATAGTGTGATTTGTTTGATTGACATGAATTTTCCATATTAGTTGAGTAATACATTTTTAGCTTACTTCGGATTCGGACATCCTTACTTTAACTTTAGGATAAATTATATGTTTAATATCTAAACTATTAGTTTTATTTCGTTTTAGTATCTAAATTTTCATTTGTTTCAAAATCATACCTGTCAATTATTTTTTATTTCATTTAGTACCACGTGGTTAAACACGTAACGGAAATTATGCACATGTTATTTTTTATGGATAAATTATATCATTCATCATTTAACTATCTTTTCACTCCTATTTTGGCTACTAAAGTTTAAAATTTTCATTTAACTACTCAATTTTTAAATTGCTCATGTTTTAATCACTCTAATTTATTTTATTAATTTGTGACATTACATTTTTATTTTATTTTATTAATATATAATTAAAATAAAAAATAAAATTGAAAGTTATAGTGATTAAATTAGGAGTAATTTGAAAGTTAATTAATTAAATTAAAAAAAATAAACTCCAATGACCAAAATAGGAGTGATAAGATATTTGAGTAATATATGATGTAGTTTACTCATGAAAAAATGTCATGTTGTAATATTTCCGTTAAATATCTAACAGTGAGGTAAAAAATAAATATTAAGTATGCTTTTAAATTTAAATAAAATATTTAATTGTTAAAATAAAATAAAATAAATAATTTAAATACTAAACTTATAGTTTATCCTCGTCCTTAAGATTGTGATAGTTGGAGTATTTGGCGTGAACAAGGTCTCACATCAAATGTGAAAACAACAATATTGTAAATCATTAATGCAATGAGTCCACCAACACTAGACTCCTATGGGCTATGGAACATTTCAGAATATACCAAATGTCATCCCATTCAAAATGAGATATTGGGCAGACGACAACATCCGCCTCCAAACCTTCTTTCATAATCTATTAAATTCCAAAGTACGTAAATCTGATATACTCAACACGTAACTTAATGACAATGAAGATATTTTGTCACTTATAAATATCTCATTTGCTTTTGCAAAAACGATAGCGCTAGGGATATCCACCGTGATAGAAATAGCAAAAATATCTGACGAGTAAATGAAAAAAAAATTGGAAAAGGAAGCAATAAGTCTTTTGAGTAAGATAAGATGTTTGATACTAGTATTTGTGAATAGAGAAAATTGAATCTTTATTTTTATAATATTTGATCTGGATTAATTAATCAATAGATCGAATAACAATGATTAATTAAAAAAAATAGAAAAGCTCCCACGAGTGAACAATAAGGCTACTATTTTGACAAATAATCAAATACAATCTATTGTAATTTCACAACTTAATGGTCTTTAAATCATCATACCATCAAGTTGACTGTCCCCTACACAAATCATTCTCAAATCTACCTTACATCACTGTGTAAACGTCTATAAGCCTCACGATTAAACAACACTTATTGACATCCTTCGAATCGAACGGTGAGGGTACAGGCTCAGTTTATTTGGGTAGCAGGGGATGCATACGAGTGGCGCATGTATCCACCGCAGCACTAAGAAAGGAACACGTGACTCTCCATGTGTTGAGCTGTCACGGGAAAAGCCTCACGGCAAATAAAGAAACCAACAGAGAGTATAATCGAGTTATTAACATCCTATATAAAAGCGTACATATATTTTCCCTTTAAAGCCAGAATATAACAAATTCAAATAATTCTAGACACGACTCATCAAACGAACCCTATAACTTTACATCCTACAAATTGCCCATCATTAACCATTTAATTTTTGTTTTTTGTTTTCTTAAAGGAAAAAACAAACAAACAAACCCTAGCAAAGACGGCAATGGATTTCACCTCCGTCGTCGCCAAGAAAGACACCAGCAGTGGCACAGCGCTTCTCCTAGGACGTTACGAGGTCGGAAAGTTACTCGGACACGGCACTTTCGCCAAAGTTTACTACGCGCGAAACGTCAAAACCGATGAGAGTGTGGCCATCAAAGTGTTGAACAAGGAGAAAATCCTCAAATGTGGCTTAATGGCTCAAATTAAGCGCGAAATCGCTATCCTCCGCCGTGTCCGCCACCCAAACATCGTACAACTCTTCGAAGTCATGGCCACCAAGACTAAGATCTACTTCGTAATGGAATACGTCCACGGTGGTCAGCTCTTCCAGAAAGTCGCCAAAGGCCGATTAAAAGAAGACGCCGCCAGGAAATACTTCCAGCAATTGATCTCAGCTGTTGAATTCTGCCACGCACGCGGCGTTTACCACCGCGACTTGAAGCCCGAGAATTTACTCCTCGACGAAAACGGGAATTTGAAAATCTCTGATTTCGGGTTAAGCACGGTTTCGGATCAGATCAGGCAAGACGGTTTGTTCCATACTTTTTGCGGGACCCCTGCATATGTAGCACCGGAAGTTCTGGGGAGGAAAGGATACGATGCGGCGAAAGTAGATATATGGTCTTGCGGGGTGATTTTGTTTGTTCTAATGGCAGGGTATTTACCTTTTCATGACCATAACATTATGGCCATGTATAAGAAGATTTGCAAGGGTGAGTTCAGGTGTCCCAAATGGTTTTCACCCGATTTAATTCGGTTACTTACAAAGCTTCTCGATACGCACCCGAAAAAGAGAATAACGATATCGGAAATCATGGAGAACCGTTGGTTTAAAAAGGGTTTTAAGCATATTAAATTTTACATTGAAGACAATAAATATTGTAGTATTGAGGACGGTGACCACGACGTAGGATCAAGCTCGGACCATTCAACATACTCAGAGTCGGGTGCTGAGTTCGAAACTAGGAAGAAAGTCGCTTCACTGCCGAGGCCAGCTAGTTTGAATGCGTTTGATATTATATCGTTTTCGCCGGGGTTTAACTTATCTGGATTATTTGAGGAAGGGGAGGAAGGGTCAAGATTTGTGTCTGGGGCACCAGTTTCGAGAATTATATCAAAATTGGAAGAGATAGCGAAGCTGGTTAGTTTTACAGTGAGGAAAAAGGATTGTAGAGTTAACTTGGAGGGTTCTAGAGAAGGCGCAAAGGGGCCATTAGCGGTTGCTACTGAGATTTTCGAGTTGACGCCTTCTTTGGTTGTTGTGGAAGTGAAGAAGAAAGGAGGGGACAGAGGAGAGTATGAGGAGTTTTGCAACAAAGAACTGAAACCTGGGATAGAGAATTTGACACGGGAGCAATCACCGGAACCGGAACCGGCACCCGCACCTGCTGATGCCGATAAATCTTATGCCATTTCAGATACGGAAGAGAATTGAAAGAGAGGATGAAGGGAGAAGGGCAATCTTTTTCTTCTCTTTCAACTCTTGGGATCCTGTATCATGAAAAAAGGTATCTTTCGTTATGCTACATGTGTGGAGCTTGAGATGACAGATGCATTTGTATGATCTATTCGTGCTTTGAGAATGGCAGATTAGATCGCAGAGAGTTGAATACAAAGTTCTACTGATCCGGATCCCAGCAATTGCACTTTTGTAGTTTTAATTAATTAGCGTGACGAGAGATTATTATATAGACCCTACTCACTATATTATATATAGTGTTTCTTCCCAGAATATTATGCGACATAAGTTTTTATACATATCATCCTTTATTTCAATCTTACACTAGATTCATCTCTGTTTTTCCTGTCCTATTTTATTTCAAACCACTTTTAGTGCAATAAAGTTTTCAACAACAAAAACACAATGGAGGATTGAAACTCTATACCAAACACCATTGGAGGTTTCAAAAAGAAAAGCTAATGGAGATCAAGTGAAAATGCCAGATTCTACATAGACAAAAATACCAATCAAGAAACTCCGTTGCATATCAACAACAGATTCTTTGAAATTAAAGCTGAACAAGTAAACGTTCCAGCATTACAAGCTGATAAAAGAACCTTATGTGCTCCAACAATAGATAGAGAATCCTGTGCTCCAGCAGGAAGAGGATTTCTTCTATCGCTATCCACCTGGAAGTTAGATGAAATGACGAGAATGAATCGATTTCATCGATAGTTTATTTGTGATGGAGCGGCACAGACAGATTAGAACCGTATCCCATTTTGCATCAATTAATCTTTTAACGCTCTTATGGTGACACCTGTTCACCATATTCTATCTTATCCACGAAATAACAAAACTACTCCATATCACTTTTCCGTTTCAAAACAGTGAAAAACTTTCTATCTTTATTCAGATATAATTTCAACTTTCTGAAATCAACATTTAATCTTATAAGACACTTTCTGAGGTTTTCGCTCTTCATCCTGCCTGGGCAGGACAGGTGAATTGCTATCACCATCAGATTTGTCAACCATTGATTCACTTCGACAATTTCTATAATCAATTTCTACTATATCATACAAATTTTATTCTATTAACAAGACAATACTCCTTACACTATCAGATCAAAAAAATTCCACTTTGAGTTGACATGTACACAGTTTTAAACTTCATTTGACTTAGGTTTAAGCATAGAATCGGCTAAACCTTAGCTCTGATACCATTAAATGTAACACCACAACTCGTATCCGACCCGGATCCGAGTCCGACGTGTCACATTGACTTTTTAAAACTTATATTTGTATACCAATATGAAAAATTCCACTTTTATTCAATATAAGTTCATAATTCATATCATTAAAATAAAAGTATCTTCAAAACTGATCAGAGCATATATAATTCAAAACATTAATTACATGCCAACTATTTCCAATCACCAAATGCAAATAATTCTAAACTCTTTTCTGATTTGATCATAGGAAAAGAGAGGTTGACCTGTCTTGCCTTGACTATCGCTGCTTCGCTTCTCTATTTGCTTCAAGAAACCTACATGTGAAACACTCACACGCTAAGTCGATGACTTAGTGAGGCATATAAAACGTATAAGGTAACTATAACTCTTAACAATTAATGCATAATTCATATAATCAAATCATAAAACCTTATACACACATTCATGTAATAATATGTAAATACAATTATATCATCGTATCATATGATATTGTGCATTGTTTCATGTTCATATAATCATTTATTTTACCTTACTCAGCTTATAACACATTCACTTGTTATCATTTAACTCAATCCCTTTTTCATAATTCTTAGTCATATAATATCTATACTATAGTCATCTATCTTATTTCTTATTTCCATTTATTTCTATTTATCATATAACTCATAGACTCTTGCTATATATTCTATATCATATCTTTGTGTACTAATTCTTTATATTCTATTAGTTTGTTTTTTTCACACAATTTGCCACATAAACATATTATCATAACCTATTACAATTTTAATTTCTATAATGTTCTCATGTGATTTCATTTTCTAGATCTCTGTAGTATGTTTTATATCACTTAAGAATTGAATCAGTTTTAAATCATCATTTCATTGAAACATATGGATTTTTCTATACAACATATTTCTATATATATATTCCCTATTTGATGTACTATTTATTTATCTCCATTAATTTATCTAAATTCTCATTTCCAAGTAAAATTCTATTATACTAGTTCATCTACAAAGTATATTCTCACTATACAATCATAACTATTCTATTCATATAATCTTATACTCCATCATTTTATTACATATACCTATACTTATGGAATTCATAACATGTCTCATGTAATTACTTGAAACATATCATATAAGTTCATTATAATCTCATATATTCCAACATATCAAACGAACATAATTTTTAACATAGATAATAACATATGCAATACATACAACCATTACACTCATATTCAAGCACACAATTACATAACAATCATATCAAATTTATTTATATTATCTCTTTATTAGCCCATGTATATTACTGAGAACTTAAGGTATAAGAGTACTGCGAGGTTGTGTACTATGCTGTCACCACAGCTCGTATAAATGCACCGAAGTGCCACGTAGAATTGCACCGAAGTGCCACATAGAAATGCATCGTAGTGACATATAAGATGTCCCTAAGGACCACGTAGAAAATTCCTTAAGAATCATATACATATGCTAAGGACCAAATATGTGTCTCAAAAGACCTCATACATGTTCCAAAGAATACATATATGTCCCGAATGACCGCGTAGACCCTCTACTCTTGGCATGCCAACTATACTTATGGCTCTCACCTCATATAAAATGAGCATTATTTCTTATCATTTCATGTCTTCACATGTTCGTATCACATATGCATATAATTTCATGTTATATCCTCATATGGTCACATAAACCATATAACATTTTCGTGTGATCTCATAGTTTATCATATGTTCTCTTATGTTTACATTTATCATATAGCATATATATATATATTCACACATCACATGCACATGTTCATATCATTCCTTATGTCCATGTCGTATAACTTATATAATCATACAAATCACTTATACCAGTTCGTTGTGCCTATCACACTATCATATATTCATATAAATCATGTAACATATGCATTAACATATACACTCATAACAAACAATTCTCATATTCATGAACTCATGCATAATACGGTAGGAAATAGACTCGTCGCAAGTCTTATTTCCATTAAACCTCATATTTTATCTAATATGCACTCACCTGGCCTCACTAGTCAATTCGATCACTTATCTTTCCCTTGATCGATCTTACTTGCCAAATATTCCGGAATTGCTTTAAGCTTAAAATCTACATAAATATACATTGATACATATCAATATCTAATTGATGTATTCTAATCAATCATTTTGTAGACCAAAAGAAAGGTCTAATTCTATTTCTCCTTGAAGTGCATCGGTACACTCTAAAGTATATCGATGCATCCCTTAACATGTGCATCGATGCACTACCCATGCATCGATGCACTAATTGCATTCGATGTTTCCATTTTTAAGGGATGCATCGATGCACTTCCTGTGCATCGATACACACTGAACAATTTATGGAAATTTACTCTTGATGCATCGATACAGGTTGAATGTGTATCGATGCATTAGCCCAGAATTCCAAATTTTTTACACGAAAATCACTCAACTTAGCTCAATTGTGCCATAATTCAACCCATTTCATATCCTTAACTTACCTACTTTACTTAAACCAATTAATACTCATTTATCACATCTTAAACCTCAAAATCCTATCCACCCCTGTGATTCAAAAATTAAACTCAATTTTTCAACATGTTCTAAATCCACTTCTAACACCTAATATCTCTTAATTCAATCATTGACAAGTCAAATTCAACTTCAAAATATACTAACTCCCTCTATTTCAGTAATTCACTTAAAAACTCTTCATATTTAATCCTTCGTAACTCATCCATTTTGAAGTTTCAACATGCTTTAATCTCTAAATAATCTTTCTTATCACCCCAAGAATCAAAACTAAGCTTAAAACTCAGGAATTAACCAGTTGAAATTAAACTTACCTTTGCTATGGAGCTTACGGGAAGAGAAGAAGAAGAAGGTTGAATCAAAGTCTCCAGACTTTTCTATTTTCTTCCATCCCTTTCCACGTGTCATCTCCTATATAAAGGAGAAATAAAAATTCTTCTTACGAAATTACTATTATACCCTTCAATATTTCCACAATTACCATTTAATATAACACTAAAATTTTCTATTTAAGTCCTTGAACTTTTAACTTGTTTCAAAATTGAGCACAAAGTTTCCAAAAATACTTTTTAGTCACTAACTCTGATTTAGGATGTTACACTTGTGGCCTGTCAGAAACATAAGCAACATGAAGGTACAAGGTAGAAAGAATGATGTGAATATATGATTGTTCCAATCAAATCTTCAAGTGGGAGATTGTTGAAAAATCAAAAGTTTGGCCAAGTGGCTAATTTGGCCACTTTCAACATTCATCAATTGTGTGTGATTTTCGGTGGAAAAGCACAGAAAGTTGGAAAACAAATATAATTCCACCGAAAGTTGAATTGAAAAGTGGATGGTATAATTGCAATTTAGTTCTTGTAATTTAAGGTATTTACAAGATTAGTTCTTAAGCTTCAACTATAAATACTTTAACCCATTTAGCTTCAAAATCATCCCAAATCATTATAGTTTTCTCCCAATACTAGAGAATTTAGAGAGTTTCTTGAGAGTTGTTTTCTTTTTTTTATCAAGATAGTTGTAATTCCTATTTTCTCATAGTGAAATTCTTCTACCGTTGCTCGTGGTTTTTACCCTATATTATTTAGGGATTTTCCACGTAAAATTTATCTTTTTTATCTTCATTTTTATTTTCTCAAATTATCAGTTGCGATTTTGCTTTATCCGATAGTCGTATTTCGCATCAGAATAGCCATCCATTCATGGAAACAGCGTTGAAGAAGCTGATCATCGCTAGCCATCCTCAAACGGTAACCCAAGCAGCTTTGGGCAATTTGTATTACTTCCGCGAGAAGTTTTGGCTTGGTGTAAGTATATGCGTAAGCAGTGCACAGTTAACATGTGAACCCTGTGGATCCAAAGCTACAAAAGAATGAGAATAGGGGATGTAGGTGCGTGGGTTGTTTCCCCCTTAAATCATTTTTTTGACATGTCGGAAAAAGACAGTCTCCAATCTAGCATTATGTT